AGGTCCTTTTGGAATTTTCTTTTATATATCAGCTAAATCGTCAAAATTTATGTTCTATAATGTTAATCAGAGAAATATTTCGTTAAATATATATGTGACAAGTGGAATTGAATTTTAGTTCATGTTTCTTGTGTGATTCAAATGGGATGAGCTGAAGACTGGCATAGTCTCATCATTGCCTCTTATTTATTTATTTATTTATTTTTGTTGACTCCAATCAAGCATCGAAGCAAAGATTGGTGCACTTAAAATATGAATGCTTGGGCTTCATGATGCAAATTCATCTTTATTCACATTTCGGCATATCATTTTGTGCATCAATTTTTAAATTTTAATTTCAACTGCATTAAATTAGAAAGAATGAAACTGATGGGTAAAAGTGCCAAGAACCCACACATCTGTTGGGTAAAAGTGGCCAGAAACTACACATTTTTTACTGTTTTCTTGTGAATAAAAGTTTAACAACTTTTCTAATTGTAAAAAGAAATTCAATTGCAAGAGTTGGAGTTGGAGTTGGAGTTGGAGTTGGACAACACTATATACAGTAACCTTCTTGCATAACTAATTAAGAAGCAAAAATTAGACACTCCCGAAAAGGTAGACAGCTTGGCTTCGAATTAATTTCCGATTCAAGCAAAGGAGGTATATATATATGAGGGAAGTGCGGAAAACACCATACTTTTCGTAACATTTTTACCTCCTATTTGAAAAAGTGTGCAATAAACACCCCTAATATTTTGAAATTGTGCAAAATTACCCCTCCGTCAGAAATCTGACGTAAATTACTGCTGTAATACCTATTTTGCTCTTTTACTCTTCCCAAAATGCCCAAGGGGGTATATATGCTACGAATCTCCTAGTATAGGGGTGTTTTGTGCACATTACCTTATATATATATAAATTTATATATATATTTTATTTTTTTCTCTATATATACCCCTTTAGTGTTTTCTCTCTCTATACTTCTTCTAGAGTCAACTTCTTGTCTGGCTGGAAGGATAGTGGGAATATTGATCCCACTAGCCAGAAGGATAGTGGGAATATTGATCCGGCTTTGCTGGTGCTGAGAATGCTTGGTATGCTTGCTTGTCTATGAGTATTCTTCTAGTTCTAATCCGGGAGCCTCTTTCCGTCAGTTAAGCTCTTTCTTACTTCTCAAACCCCCTTCATCTTTCCTTTATGCTTACATACAATAATATTACATGGAATCTTCAACCTCAAGAAGTCGTTCTTACTCATATGGAAGGGCGAAAGAATGTGACTGCCATTGTAAAGTTAGAAGTCCTTTAAAGATTTCAAATACAGAGAGAAATCCGGGTAGAAGGTTTTATGGTTGTGCAAACTATAGAACTGGTTCATGTGGTTTTTTAAGATGGAAAGATGAAGAATTGCCCGAGTACTACCGTAAATTAGTTTGGGATCTTATGACAGAGGTGCAAGAGTTGCAACAAGCTAAAGCATTAACAAGAATTTCAGAGGCACCCATGGATGTGAAGGATGAAAGGTTATTGGAGCTAGAAAATATGATAGTAGACTTGAGAAAAGAAGTGAAAAAAACTGCTCCTACTGTTGGCAGAATATGTTGTGGTTCGTTTGGCATTTTTCTCTTTGGCTTTTTTACCTGTATTGTATTTCTTAAGATAGTGATGTGAATTTCTTATTTGACTTCCTGTATTGCATGCTTGTATTTTAGTTAACGTTGTATTTTAATGCCTGTATTGTGGTTCTTGTATTGCGTGAAATATTGCATTCAACTTTAATGCTTCAACCATACGAATAAAAAACTGTCATTACTAAACATTCAACCAAATCAATTCATTCATCTAACATGTCATTAATCATAACCATCAATTAGTGCAAACCATATATATCAAACCATTCAACTATACCAATGCCAAATTTTTCAAACCATTCAAAAAAAAAAAAAAAAACATACAACACACATTCATAAACTTGCAGGAACTGGAATAATTAATTTACCAAAATAATCATCCTAAACAAAACCCAGTTTCACCTTCAGTAAATGTACCACTTTCAACACATAAAAAAAAAAAAAAAAAAAAAAAAAAAACCCATGTAGAACCATTTTCATCAAGTCATCCTAGTTAAAAAGTAAGCAGGCCTATACAAGTCATCCTAGTCAAAAAGTAAGCAGGCCTATACAAAAAGTAATACTAGTCCCTGCAACTCCACAACTCCAAAAGTAGTACTATTTTCACCATCTACACAAAAGTAATTGTTGTAGTAATTTAAGTCAAACCCTACACAATCCTGCATATGTTGCTGAGATACCAAAATCCATTAATAGTTCCTGTAAACTGGCCAACAAGTAATGACCTGGAACATTAAACAAAGCATGAATAAAAACCCGATCTATGCAAACTGTCCTAAAACTAAATGCAAACTGTCCTAAAAGTAAAAACACATAAATGCAACCAGTTTATATAAATGTCAATTCAATGCAATTCAATGTGTATAAGCATCTAATTCTGTACTTCACTATTTGATTGCACATTATGGGTTATATTCTTACAGGCTGTTCAGTATTATTTGATCCACTCTATAAGAGAGGTAGGAGATCCCATTTACTGTAACATGGGATTGAATGCAAATTGAATACATATTTAACAAATGCATTAGTATTTTCATTTGAACTGAGCAACCTGCCCGCCTGAATGGCTCTACATCATGGTAGGGGTGGGTTTGTGGGACAAAATATAAGATAGTATGAGGTCCTTAAATTGCATGATCATTAATAGTAAACATAACGTTCCACATGAACAAATCCTTTTAGCATCAAATGTTATGGATTACAGTTAACATTAAAAATAAAAAAATATCATTGTTGTGATAGATTTCACTATTTGGACTGAAAACAAAATATCATTCCTTTGCTTTTGTATGTCATAGTGTATACTCAAAATTGTGAAAGATTTGCAACCTGATGGTATTTCCAACTGTCCCACCAAAAAAAAAATAAAATAAAAAATAAAAAAGATATTCCATTGTATGTTGCCCCACCCTTGACTTTGGGATGATTTTGAAAATTGTTTTCCTTTTCCAAGGTGTTCGTGGGAAGAGGATTCCCCTTCCCAAATATGTTCTATTGATATCCTTATTCTGGAGATGCACAGATAAAGAAACTAGTTTAACATAATAGGCTTGATCCAGAATATTGGGACAATGACAAGTAAAAGGAAGGAGTATGTAGACACATGAGTGAATTGATGGTTAATATAACATGCCCCAACAAACTAATCTGGTAAGAAAGAAAAAGAAATTGAAAATATTGAATATAAACTTGTACAAAAATAGAAACATAAAATGAGGGGGGATAAAAATAGATAAAATTTAAAAGGAAAATCAGGTTTATATGACTAGTCTACAAGCATTATATGCTGACATGTCAACATATTTCTCAATTATGCTTTTTGAGTGTTATAAAGAGAAATATTATGAGAATGATTAAATTTTTAATTTCAAATCAGGTTTATATGACTTGTCTACAAGCATCATATGCTGACATGTGAACATATCCCCACAAACACTAAAATAAAGTTTGTATGAATTTCTACAATTTATAATAAAATCAAACATGCAAGGCAATAAAAGGCACGAATAAGTATTATGTTAATGCAATTACCTAATACCACCAGTCTTGGCTGTCTTGGGTTGCTTGTGATAGGAGAGTAGGCATGTCAACAATATGAGATTGTGTAACATTAATAACCTATTTGTACAGTTTTAAACAATTAATTATGTCATATCAAAGGCACAAATAAGTATTCTGTTAATGCAAATAGGGTGTTAAGCATAATATACCTCACTAGTTGTGATTGAAACATCTACAAAGTTGGAAGTCCCAATGTCAACACTGCCCAATGCACCCCTTCCTTGTGTTGTCAATCCACTGCTACTACTGCCCCAACCACTGCCAAATGTACCCCTTCATTGTGTTGTCACTTCACTGCTACCACTTCCCAATGCACCCCTTCCTTGTGTTGTCACTCTAATGTTACCACTGCCCCTAGTCCTTACTGTTTTTCCTCTCCCAATCCCTTTAAAAGTCCCATCACCTCTTCCTTGTGTTGTCCCTGCTGCTCTTCCTCTCCCAGTCCCTCTAACAGTACCATCACCTCTTCCTTGTGTTGTCCCTGCTGCTCTTCTTCTCCCAGTCCCTCTAACAGTCCCATCACCTCTTCCTTGTGTTGTCCCTGCTGCTCTTCCTCTCCCAGTCCCTCCAACAGTCCCATCACCAACTTGATTCTCAACATCTTGAATGTCACCACTAGAAATATGCAATATTCCAAGTTGAGGGTTTAAAGGCCTGCCTCCCTTGTTTTTTGGTGGTCTAGACTCTACTGGTTGATTTTTGCAAGTCCTTGCATTGTGACCATGAGCTTTACACTTTCCACACACAAGGTATAGTCTTTGTCTGAGTATATTTTTTGATTTAGATGTACCTTCACCATGAGCTTTTATTCTTGCTTTCTTTGGCCTTCCAGGAGGTTTCCTAGCTATTGGAGAGATTAAAGGCACAAGTGGTAGTTTCTTCATGTGCCTAAGGACCAACGGATTGATCTCGAATGCATATGCCTTCAAAAATGTTGACCTATGGTGATAGGCATCAACATATTCTTCAATAGGTAGTTTCTTCTTAGTCATAACAGTAATGGCATGCTTGCATGGGATACCTGTGACATTCCATTCCCCGCATGTACAACATCTCTCTTGTAGATTTACAGACTCATTGTCAATCTCATCTTGGACATCATAACAAGATACTGAAGAAAAATATACTACATAATTCTTTGATTCCTTCTTGTTTGCCAACACTTTAGCCTTTGCAGCTGGACACAAGAGCCCCTTTTGTTGTTCCATGTATTCCCTCCTCCCATGAAACCTTGACATTAAACCCCTTCTAATCATCTCAAACATTGTAATGATAGGTTTGTCTCTTGCCTTTAATATGTGTGGATTCCATGATTCACACATATTATTACTGTTAAGACAACACTTGGGAAGAATCTGTGAACTTAGACGTGGTCCAAAATCTAAATGGGATTCTGCACAACCAGTCATATGCCTCACCATTGAGTTCCCTTATATTCTGCATATGTTTCTTAAACTCAGGTTTATTGAATGCATTTGCAGCATTCCACACCATTTGCTTCAACTCCATGCCTGGATATTTCTTCTTAAAGTTCTCATGCAAGTGCCTAACATAAAACCTATGATCTTGACCACCATCCAAAGATGCAAATGTGTCCACCAAGCCCTAAAGGTAACATATAAAACAATTTCTCAGTTAGCTTTACATATAAACTGCATTAAAAAAAAAAACTAAATAACTTCAAATAACTGAATTACTTAAAAAATAATAATAATTGATGAATTACTTCAAAAAAAAAAAAAAAAAAAAAAAAAAAAAAATGAAACTGAAAAAAAAAACTGAATTACTGAATAACTTCAAATAACTGAATTACTTAAAAATAATAATAATAATAATAACTGAATTACTTTAAGACAAAAAAATAAATAAAAAAAAAAAAAAACTGAATAACTAAATTACTTAAAAATAAATAAATAAAAAAAATAAAAAAACAAATTTACCTTCTGTCTGTCTAAAATCCAAGTTATTGCTTTGTGGGGACTAATAACAGCCATCAACTCCTCTATGAACCAATCCCAGCTGTCTTTAGTCTCTGCTTCAACAACAGCAAGTGCAATGGGATAAAAACTGCTGTCTCCATCTCTACCAACAGCACTAAGCAGAATCTGATTATAAGGAGTCTTCAAGAAACACCCATCCAGTCCAATAAAAGGCCTACAACCCTCCTTAAACCCCCTCCACATTGTATTTAAAGAGAAAAAGACTCTTTCAAATCTTGTTGACATCCCATCAGGCTCCAACTTTGCCTTTACTTTACAAACACTACCAGGATTTGTCTTCATTATAAGGGCAAAATATACTCTAATTTTGGAAAACTGGTCCTCATGGTGACCTTCAATAATCTGCAAGGCCTTCCTCTTTGCCCTCATCACTTTAAACCTAGACACTTCAATCTCCAAGTTATCAGCAACATAGTGTTCGATACCATCATTTTTCCATTCAGGTAGCTTCCTAAATTTGTGCACATACTTCTTTGCAATGTAGGTAGAAGTTGCTTGCTTATTTATCTCAACTTCAGGGCAATCAGGATTATGAGGTTTAATTGTACTTAGCTTAAAGCTGCCATTTCCTCTGAAAGAAGCATGTATCCTCCATCCACATCCATTCACATATGTAGCAGTGACCCTTGTTCTTTCATTCTTCTTAAACCTTATATCATACCTGTTAGCAATAGCATGCTCTCTCAAGAAAGCTTTAAATTCTTTAGCATTCACAAGCTTCATGCCTATAACCAATTCTTTGTTCCTCTCATCCCTTGCAATTCTGGTTTTTGGTTGTTTAGGTGCACTATTAATCTCTTCATCATCAGATTCACTGTGAATACTCCATAACTCATCACTTGGTGAATATAGGGACACATCATCCAATTCCTCATCATCTATTTCAATATTACCAAACTCATCATTCTCAACATTCTCATTCTCAGCATTTTGATTTTCAGCCACTGCCAGTATTCTGATTTTCAACACTGAAACCACTGTCATTATCAGTGTCAACTTCTTCTTCCACTGATCTAACAGCTTTATTATCCTCTTCATTTGGCTTGCTGACATAAATGTGGATCTGTGGAATATTTTCGCATGTCTCAAACATAGCCATCACACTTAGGTCATTAAAAACTTGTAATAAATGCCCATGGATGGGATCCTTGTAGAAAATCTTGCTGTGTGCATTCAAATGAAGGCTTTTGAGGATGCCTTGAAGTTCAATGTATGATATTGTATCACTGTCCACATTATCAAACAGCTCCAACTCACCTCCAACATACTTGTTACGCTTGTCGAAATTGCCCGAATGATGCAGATAAATTAAATGACTTGTCTCCATTTTCTAAATAGTTACAAAGTACACAACAGCATTAACAATGACTAAAACTCTGAAACTATCCATGCATATCAGAGCGGGATCTATAGATCCGTCATACAATATGCATGGCATGGACACTAAAAAACATGGTTAGTATACATGTATAATAAAGAATAATGTGAAAATAAAAAAATAAATTAAATGACTTGTCTCCATCTTTTAAATAGTTACAAAGTACACATTAGCATTAACAATGAGTAAAAGTCTGAAACTATCCATGCATATCAGAGCGAGATCTATAGATCCGTCATACAATATGCATGGCATGGACACTAAAAAACATGGTTAGTATACATGTACAATAAAGAATAATGTGAAAATAAAAAAATAAATTAAATGACTTGTCTCCATCTTTTAAATAGTTACAAAGTACACAATAGCATTAACAATGAGTAAAAGTCTGAAACTATCTATGCATATCAGAGCGGGATCTATAGATCCGTCATACAATATGCATGGCATGGACACTAAAAAACATGGTTAGTATACATGTACAATAAAGAATAATGTGAAAATAAAAAATAAATTAAATGACTTGTCTCCATCTTTTAAATAGTTACAAAGTACACAATAACATTAACAATGAGTAAAAGTCTGAAACTACTCATGCATATCAGAGCGGGATCTATAGATCCATCATACAATATGCATGGCATAGACACTAAAAAACATGGTTAGTATACATATACAATAAAGAATAATGTGAAAATAAAAAAATAAATTAAATGACTTATCTCCATCTTTTAAATAGTTACAAAGTACACAATAGCATTAACAATGAGTAAAAGTCTGAAACTATCCATACATATCAGAGCGGGATCTATAGATCCGTCATACAATATGCATGGCACGTACACTAAAAAACATGGTTAGTATACCTGTACAATAAAGAAGAATGTGAAAATAAAAAAATAATAAAGTTATTATAGATATGCAATATAAAAGTCAGTATACATGTAAAATAAAGAATAATGTGCAGCAATAAATAATAAAATTGCAATGTGTTTGGAATAATTATTCAAAGACAAGAATTAAAAAAAAAAAAAAAAAAAAAACTTAACTTTTTAGGCTATGTGGTCCACTATTATGAGAACCACCAACTTTTAACCACATAAACAGACAACAAAAACATATAAAATGGCAAAAATGTATTGAATGAAGATAGAAATAGCCAATTTGACAACTTATAGTGAAAATATATATATATAAATAATCTGTTATGCTAGGGACCACAAAAACAATCAATATGTTATGCTAGGGACCACAAAAGCAATCAGAAAAAAATTTACAAATATTATCAATCCTTTTGTAGTCGTGTGTGTGTGTGTGTCATGTAAATTCAACTCTTGCATTAGCTGTGAAAAGAAACAGGATATACCATTCTTTTGGCTCATTTACAAATATTATCAAGTTCATTATATTTAATTTATCTTATTCAAGGTTCCCTGAAGCCAACAAACAACAAAGAAGGAAAAAAAAAAACACTTATAGAAATAGCCAATTTGACAACTTATAGTAAAAATATATATTAAAAAAAAATTGTTATGCTAGGGACCACAAAAACAATCAATATGTTATGCTAGGGACCACAAAAGCAATCAGAAAAAAATTTGAAACAAAAACCCTAACAAACAAGGAAAAAAAAAAAACTACTGTATCAAATGAATACAAATTTAGCCTTTTGGACAAACCACTGTAATATGGATCACAAAATCAATCATTTGTCACAAAGTCAAAAGCAAAAAAAAAAAAAAAAAAAAACAGAGTTGTAGCATGTCAATTACAAAATAAAAACATAAAAGCTTAACTTTATAGACATCTTGGAGAGAGAGAAATAGATATATAGAAATCCTAACATATATCACAAAGAAGGAAAAAAAAAAACCTTAACAAAGAAGGAAAAAAAAACCTTAACAAAGAAAGAAAATTACCCTAACAGAGAAGGAAAAAAACCCTAATAGAGAAGGAAAAAACCTTAATAGAGAAGGAAATGTAGTGCGGTGATTTAATAGAGAGAAAAAAATACCCATCATTAAATTACATATATTAAAACTCTAATATAAAAAAATAAAAAAAAAGAAGGAAAAAAAAAACCTTAACAAAGAAGGAAAATTACCCTAATACAGAAGAAAAAAAAAAAAAAAAAAAAAAAAAAAAAAAAAAAAAAAAAAAACCTTAATAAAGGAAATGCAGTGCAGTGATTTAACAGAGAGCGAAAAAAAATACCCATTTAAACTCTAATACAAAGGGGAAAAAAAACCTAATAAAGAAAGGAAAAACCCTTAACAGAGAAGGAAATAAAACCCTAACAAATAAGAAAAGAAACCCTAACAGAGAAGGAAATTAAAATCCCTAACAAATAAGAAAAGAAACCCTAACAGAGAAGGAAATTAAAATCCTTACTGAAAGAAAAATCACATGGACATAAAAAAAAAATAGAAAGATAAATAAGGGTAACCAAGAACTTACATTCAGGTTTTGCAGAAAGACACGAACCAACCTTCGATCTTTATACGATTTATACGTTTAGGGTTAAGGGAACTTAAAGCTAGGGTTTTTGGTTTGCAATGGAAAATCGTGATCGCGATCGCAACCTAAGGCTAGGGTTCTGGTTTCTCTCTATAGAACGTGACCCCTCCTTGTGATGATGAGAATATGGATATAGGGTTTCTGGTATCAAGAACGTGAGGTTTTGATTGCAACAGGCTAGGCTTGTGGTCGCTCTCTCAAGAACGCGAGGCAGTGATGATGCAAATGAATGGAAAATGGAACGATTTACAGTTTTAATGAAAATGGGTGTCTAGCAAAACAAAACGACGTCACTTATTTAGTGTGTCCTTTTTGGTCTTTTTACAATTTTTTTTTTTATATATTTAATAAAATGCTTTAGTAAGGGTATTTTGGTTAATTTATGTTTTAAATGTGTGAGGGGGACCTAATTGCACCAAATTGAAACTTGAGGGGTGTTTTTTACACGTGAGGGGTGTGATATGTACTATATGCATACTTCAGGGGTGTTTTTTGCACTTGACCTATATATATATATATATATATATATATATATATATATTACATGAATGCAAATAAAAAGAGAAACCTAATCAATAATGAAATGGAAAACAAAAAAACCCAAATCCAGTCACAACCAAAGCAAATTCAGCAAATAAAATCAACAATAAACTAGAGAAAAAAATATGCATGTGTTAGCCCTAAAAATGTTTAAGAAATAGGGATTGAAGAACCCTTAAAATGTTTGAGAAAGAGGGATTGCAGATTACCTGAAGAATGAAGGTAAGTCCGAATCCTCGGTTCTAGAGAGTAAAGAGAGGGTTGAATAAATAGCTCTGTGTTGGTCAAGGTAGAAATTGGTTGAGATCACTCAACTCTCCTTTTCCTGTCGAACCAGAAGACACTGCCTTGACACAAGGACCTTTTGCTGAATTTTGATTAAGAGACCGAAAACCTAGGGCAGTTTGCGCATCAATGGTGAAGTAGCTCGTGGGAATGAAAGAGAGTGAGTGTATTTTGTGCGTGTAAATGGTGCCATTGAAAAGAGGGCTAGCTTTTGGCTGACTATTGGACTTTTGCGTGCTCGGGAGATGAAAAGTACGTGGGCGGGATTTTTATTTTTTTTAATTTTTTTTTCATATTCACGGGAGAAAAATACCCCCTTAAAAATATATTTATTAAGGAGTGGCTTTTACTCATTAAAGTTGGATAAATCCATATGTAAACATTAATGGGCTCTTTAAACTCACATGAAAACAGTTTTTTACGAGGATTGATCCCATGAAAACGTGACCCTTTATGAGTAAAAAGTAACTTCTACGAGAGAAAATAAAAGATCCCGTAAATACTACCTCGTAAAAACTAAAAACCCACTTTTCTTGTAGTGTATCCACTTCGCAATACAAAATGTTGGAGGAGACCAAGTTTTGAGAAACTACCACTATGCACAAAGGAAATCTAATTAGTGCTGAAACAGTTTAAAATTTTGAATTCATGACAAAGAAAATGTTAAGGTTCATTCTTATATTGTGTATCTTTCTTTCCAAATCTTTGGAAGATAACTCCAATTAGGCATAGGGTTACTTGATCTTGAAGTTTTTTTTAAGGGTATAGAGTGATATTGCATAGCTCTGGTTGACCTTGGAAATTTTTATACATATTTTTTATTATTTATATTTTCTCTTGAAATATGTTTTTGGCATTAAATTTTTTTTTTTTTTTTTTTTTTTCTTAGTCGGTGTTCTCGTATACTTCTAGTAACTTTGCATATTTTTGTTCACAAATTGAATTTAATTAATCAAATATATGGCTTGTATGGAAAGTTTCAACAAATAGGATATTACAAATTATACTTTAAATTTGGTTTATTAGAGATTTTTAAAAGTGGTTTTGATCTTGCATCATATCAATAAAAAAAATAAAAATTGACTTATAGAAATTTTTTTGGTTTATAAATGTACAATTTTGATTCATAAACTAAATTTTCTATTAAAATTTGGATTAATTCCATCTGCATCCCCTAACCTTTGACCATATCACACTACACCTCCTTTAAGTTTCAATATTCCAACTAACCCCCCCCCCCCAACCTTTTGATTTTGATAGCAAGTTACGCCTGCCGTTAAACAATCAACTGTTAGTGTTGATGTCAGCAGAAAAATGAGTGAAGAGTCAATTTTTCCCCTCTAATATCTTTAACCTATTTAACCAATGTATAATTACAAAATTATCCTTAACTTATTAACTCAAAAGTACAACAATGGCCTTGTATATTCCTTACTCCACCGTTACCGTCTTAGAGAGAGAAATGTCGGTCGAAGAACATCACTTCGAGGCGAAGGGCGATGCAGGGGTTCTTTGAGGCGAAGGGCGATGCAGGGGCCTCCAAGACCTACCCATAGTAGGCGGGAATAATTCGCAAGAACGGAAACATAGTCATCAAAAATAGGCCATGCAAGGTCTAAATTTGTATTTTTCTTCAAATTTGATAGTATGTTTGAGTGTTTGATTCTGAAATCTTATCTGGGTTCCTTTATTTTTGTTAGATCTTTGATGGATAATTTTATTCTTGTGATAATTTATGTTTTTTTTATAAAAATTGATGCTACACATTATTGTTTTCTATTCAATTTTTTTTGTGGTGTGAGACAATTCTATTCCTGTTAACTGAGTGTGTATGTTGACTTTGGGTCGATGCAATGGATTTAGATGGAAATTTTTGTATTGAGTGTGTATGTTGACCTTATTATTTAGATTTCTAACCCTGAATCTCCTTTTGTTGGGATTTGATCACCACCGAGCTCATCGTCTCCGCTGCTTCACACCAACGCCACCACATCCATTACCACAACAAAACCCAACTGAGAAGCTCCATGCCCAATCACCTTTGCAATTAAACCCAATACCCACACCCCAGTTGCAAGACCAACTACTACAGAGTCTACAATGAAACTAACTAGCAGACCCGCTGTGCAAAGACCGATCATCGCCGGTTTGATCCAGACCCGCTTCATCGCCTGTTCAGACCTGCTCCTTATTCGTCGTCAGAAAATTCTTTCTCATAGCCCATCCATTTGCAATGGATTAATGACTTCTACAGTTGCAGTAAGACATCGTAGCCGCTGTGCAAAGCCCACCAACATCACCCCAAGTCTGCCGCCGATCAGGATCAGTCCTCGCCGAGCTCCTCCTTACTGCCTGCTGTCGCTAGAATCGCGATTTGGAGCAACGAAAGAGAGAGAAACTGACTCACAGAAGAAAAACAAAGATGCCTCCTTCAGGAGAAGCAGATGATTCGGCTTTACAAGTTGATGTCCGTCACTTTGCCCATCGCCGTCGAAAACGGGTTGAGTGAACGGCGATTGGGTTGTGCGTTTAGGCCGGCGATTGGCAATTGACGACACCGGCGATTGGGTTGTGCGATTGGTGACGACGATGATGGGTGCTGACAGTGGCGCGTGGAGGATGGACTCGCAGAGGAGGGACGCGAGGGATGCTGATCATGCTGGTGTCTGGTTTCTCAGTGTGAGTTTCTAATTTTTTTGTGCTGATTTATTCATGTATATTTCTGTATATATATAGGGTGTTTTTGTCGTTTTTAGATTTAACTCCAAAAATTGTATAAATATTAATATATAATTGATGGGTAAAATTGTAAAATCATCCAGTTCTGTTAGTGAAGTAAACAACCATTGAGGGGAGATAGGTGAAATATTGAAACGTAAAAAAAGTATGAGTGAAATATGGTCAAAGGTCAGGAGGTTTAGATGGAATTAACCCTAAAAATTTTTATCAAAGATTTTAATCAAGTATATGTAACTGATGGAATAACAAAAAAAAAAAATGGAATAAAACTAATGACCATATTTAAAACATAGAATATTATTAGTTGATTGCAATTAATCTGTAACGGATGGAAATGATAATTATTGAAAGTACAAGTTTTGTATCTAAATCATAGGATATTAAGAACCAAAATTTGATTGCAATTAATCCGTAACTGAATCATAGGCGAATTGCAAAAAAAAATTCTTGACTATTACTCACTTGTAATAAAACTCTCATTGTGAATACTTTTAGCAAGAAATCCCCTGAGGGGGATATTTTAACTTAACACCGTGTAATGATTTTTTGGACCAAATTATCCCGATACCTCTGTAATAATTTATTTATTTTTGGGTAAAATCTCTGCAACATCTTCCTTGGGTGAAAGCAAGAGAATCAAACAGAACAACGTAGTTGCTGAGACTAGGGGTGACAATTCGGTGTTCGTGGGTCGTGTTCGTGTCATGGGGTATTATACTAAATAGGTAAACCCAACACATTTAATAATCGTGTCAAAAATTCTCAACACCAAGTCAACCCGTTTATTAAACAGGTACACGTGTTAACTCGTTTAATGACATGTTTACCAAAATGAGACATTTAATATTTAATCAAATACTAAATAATAGAAAAAAATTGTCATAATTAACCAAAATATTCAAAAAAAAAAGAAAAATCATAAGGTATAAACAAGTTTTATATTGAAATGATTTAACTATCCATAGTAATTGAATTTAAATAGGTAACATATTACATAGGTCATATTCACGATTATAACATGTTGAGTTAAATGGGTCATAAACGAGTTACACGGGTTGAACCCCTCAATCCTAATCCAACACGATTAAGTAAACGGGTTAATCGTGTCGACCTTTTATGACCCAAATTCGTTTATGTTAAACCCAAATCCTTTTAACTCCAGTCGTATTCGGGTCATGTTATCGTGTCATAATTTGTAACCCCTAACTAAGACACAAGCTCCATGAGAGGCAAAGACTGAAGTTTTAAGCTTGTCTCGAGCTGAAAGTAATAAAATAAGTGCAGAGCAAGATCAAAGGATTGCTTAGCAGTTCAATGGTCTGAACTGTGAAGGGTTTTTTTGGGGGGTCTTTTACTGCCTTCATTCCTTATTTTATCTATTTGAGATTGGTGTGGAGAAATAAGGTTTCGTACTAAGTATATAGAATTTAAAACAGACCTAATATTTAAAAGGGTAAAGTGCAAATAACCCCCCTGTATTATTGACAAATTGCAACTAACCCCCCTAAACGAAAAAAAACCCCCTAAACTATGAATTTGTTGCATTTCAGTCCATTCCGGTGACTGACTTAACCGGAAAAATAAAAAGTCTGAATTGCCCTTATGCGTTTATATATATATATATATATATATATATATATATATATCTGGTTTTAAACTGAATTTATATATATGTGTTTATATATATATATAACATTGGAGATTGAAGAGAGAGAAGCATCAGGCTGGAGATTGAATCGTGAAGAAAATGAAGGAAAAAGATGGTGGTGGCGGCGGCGATTATGGTGACGGAAGA